TGCTTGGGAAATTATTTGGTTTTTGGACGTTATTTGGTTTTGGACGTTTTCATAAGATGACAGAAAAGGACAAGAACAGTTGCAATTCATCACCTGTATTTTCCTTCAGCCAAAGGGAAAAAGGTAAGAATAATAATGGTCACATTATAATCCTTAGATTCCATTGTCCCTGCTCAACATTTCTTAATTTGTTTTTTTATAAATTTCTCTTCATGAAAAACATTATTTCAAGTGTTTCGTGACTTCTTGCTTGAATTTAAGTTATATACATTATTAATATATGATGATCTTTTTATATTACCGATGTAATTTTATCTGTTATAAGATATTACTGACCATTTATCACTACTAGAAAATCGGTAAAAACCGTCCAAAAAAATCCACCAAAGTAGATCGGTAATGACCAATAACCGTCCAAAACGCGACCATTAACGTGTGGTCGGTATTTTGAAGGTCGGAAGGGCATACCGACCAAAGTTGGTCGAAAATTACCAACCAACTTTGGTCGGTCAATTAAATTCAAAAACAAATTGCCGAAATTAGTTGGTTTTTTCCGACCAAAGTCGATCGGTATTTTAATTATGTAATTAAAAAATGCATCATTTGGGAATTGAACCGGGGTCTGTGCTGTGGCAGGATACTATTCTACCACTAGACTATTGGTGCATTTTATTTTAAGATTGCCTTTTATTTCATTTATACTCTTTAATTGTATTTTCGCACGAAAATAACCGACCAATGTCGGTCGATTTTATTAAAAAATAAAATGACTGATCGAATTCGGTCGGTTTTTTAAAATGACCTGCCGAATTAACCGACCCATTGCAGTCGATTTTTTAATATTAATTTTAAATTATTTTAAATGAAAAACAGACCAAAGTTGGTCGGTTTCTTGAAAAATAAATTTCGCGGGACTCAAAAATAGTTTTCTGCATTTTTGCGCCAAAGAAAACCGACCAAAGTTGGTCGGTTTCATAAAAATAAATTAAAAAATATATATTTTGAAAAACCGATCGACTTTGGTCGGTTTTTTGACCGACCAAAATTGGTCCGCGATCGATTTTTGCCGAATTTCTAGTAGTGTATTAAAAGTAACTAACCAATACTATTAATTAGAGTTAAAATGCAATTATATTTTAAGTAATATGATTGTGTAGATATTAATATTATGTGTGCATAGTGTTGGGTGTGTCTGAATAAAGTCTCAAATGGAAAGTAGAAAAGAAAAATAAGCTACTTATAAGAATTTAGATACTCTTAATGGTCTTTTGGGGAAAATCGTGTGGGCTTGACCCAAAGCGAATAATATCACACCATGTTAAGAGTATATTTCGGTCGTTCTTAGCCTAATAACTAGTATCAGAAGCCAATGGTTTGGCGAGACGAGTATGAAGAATGGCGGAGTGATGACATAGGGCCCGAATTAGTGCCTTTGCCCATCTCTTGGCCGGTTTACTACCTTTACCTGTAGCTTCAAAGACACAACCTCTCTTCTAGGCTTCAGTAACCATAAATTCTCAAATCATTTGGGTTGCACATAGTTACTCCAAATTAGCCCATGAATAGTGATATGTCTTGTGTAGCTCGGTTCAAGGGAGAGATTGAGATTGTTGGATGTGTGTGAACCAAATTCAATATAAAATTGAAAAGAAAAATAAGTTGCTTATAAAAAATTGATACTCTTAACGATGTAAGACCTTTAGGGTAAAACCTTGCGGGCTAGGCCCAAAATAAAAAATATCATACTATGTTAAGATTATATTTTTGGTTTTTTTTTACTTTTAGCCCGTGCCAAAAATTATTTATATTTGGTAGCCGAAAAAATATATAAAATTTGTATAATTTTTGTATATAACATACATAATATATATATCCAAAAAAATATGCAAAAAAATATACATAGAATGTCATTTTTCCTTATCTTTTGGCCGTTTTAGCCCAAACACATAGAACTTAAACTGATCTTAGCTCAATTCACTTATTTTCCGTTAATTAATCATCTCAAAATTCTTAAAACTTTCAACCATCTGCCAAATTAAACAAACTCCACGAACCTCTTAGTATTTTATATCATCAACAACATGATCAGCTCTCCAATCACCTCTGTGGATTGCCAGAAACAAGTGCGTTCATGGAGGTATATTCGTTCGCTCATGGAACTTCTGATTCCTCGTTGCAATTGTATCTTTGTTGAAGAAGAAATTTACGAGAAAAAACCCATACCCTATTTCAAGCACCACTCAACAACAACAACGACAACAATAACGGGCACAATATTCGGCTCTCGTAAAGGAAAAGTTAGTTTCTGTATCCAAACAAACCCTAAATCCACAAACCCTATTCTTCTTCTTGAACTTGCAGTTTCTACAACCACACTCGCTAGAGAAATGCGAAAGGGAATAGTGAGAATCGCGTTAGAGAGTAGTACAAATATGGTATTCGAGTACTCTTCTTATTCTCTTTTGTCTATACCAATATGGGCTATGTATTGTAATGGAAAAAGAGTAGGGTTTGCAGTTAAGAGAAAACCTACAAAAGCTGATTTAAAAGTGTTGAGAAAATTGGAGTCAAAATATGTTGGAGCTGGCACTATTATAAAGAGAGAGGATGAAGATATTATGTATCTTAGAGGAAAATTTGAAAGGGTTAATGGATCTCATGATTCTGAATCCTTTCATTTGGTTGATCCAGAAGAAAATATGGGTCAAGAGCTAAGCATTTTCTTTCTGCGATCTCTTAATTAAGTAGGATTAGCATCTCATTTACTACTCTCTTTTTTTTGGTAAGGAGTAACCGCAGCCGAGCCTTTGCCCTTCGGGTGAGCGCTTTGTGCGAACTGGATAAACCCCGTCCAATATAATCTCTTTTTTTGTACAACTTTTTTTGGGGAAAGATCGCCTCGTTCTACTACCTTTTCCTTTTTCCTTTTTTGGTATATTATACTAGCTGTGACGAATGATTAATGTAAATAGGAGTATTACTTATATATCAGAAAAGTTAGTTTGATAATTTTCCCGCAATTAAACTATAAGTTTGATGACCGATTGTGTATTTAACCCATGCAATTGGAGGTGAAAGTAGTTGCGTAGAATCTTACCTCCTTGGTTCATATTGTAAGAATGAAGAAATATGTGTTTTTTTTTAACATTAACCCATCTTCAGCAAACTAGGCTTATTAGACTTCAAGTGCAACTCTCTCTCTTACAAAAATATATTAGTATACATGATATCGCAAGCTAGAGTATAGATCTATTGATTTCACATTGCTTTCAAATTTTAATTTTATTTTAACTAAGCTATTTTAAGACCTTGGTACAAGGCTAAGAGTTCAATATATTTAGTTCTCATCGAAATTGCCTATTATTCGAATATATAGTTTTAGGATTCAAATCCAGGTGGGGGGAGGGGTTTCTTGGTTGAATACAGAAAAAGAAGACTATGTTTTTTGTGTTGTGCTAGGTCGAGGTAAGGTATACGAAGAATTAAAGGTCTATAATTTGACATTGAAAGAAACTAAAGTTGTTTGTTTCTCAAAAAACTTTAACTTGTACATAAATACATTATGTCCTTTCATAAATCCATGTGAATTCCTCTTTGTTGTTTTTTATTTAACCAGACCCCTGAAATGGTTTGACTTTCAAAATTCATTAAGATTGGGGATACCAAAAGAAAGGGAGTCTCACTAATTCATTTATTGTGGATATAAATATATATTTGCCTCCAAAGATTAGTTTGATTTTGTTTTTCGTTACACTTTTGATCCGTTCATACCTTGTCATTAACAATATATTCCCTTGGCTTACCACTAACGTAGTTCTAGCATGAAACGGATACAATTAACCGGTGACTACTGTTTAATTAAATTACCCTCCAATTGGAGCTCCACTAGGGGGTCAAGGAAAAAAACGAGAGTACTTTTTCCTAATGACAAAAGTAATAATAGAATAAAAGTTTAACATAAACCGTTCAGTTTTAAATAGTACATGCACAAATTTGACCCTGTTTCCTTTCTTGATTTACCTGGCTAGAATTACTTTCACGGTCATCTGCTTATGGCTGACCAGAAAGTCTGAATAGACTGCGAGGAGTTTCAAAATATGTTTCAAAAAGAGAAATACATACTAGTAACGAATTATACTGGAACTAACCTCTAATATGAGACTATTACGTGCGAATCCGAATTAGATTCAATACTGACATCAAGTGGGGAAAAATGTATATATATATATATATATATATATATATATAATGCAGGATCATAATGGATAGTGCCATGTTGTGAATAAGAAGCCTACTGAAAAGATATACTTATTAGGAACCAATTTTTCTGGGAAAAGAGGAGACTTTACGGATGTGTTTTGATGTTGGGTTGCGCTACTGAAAAGATGCTATTGTTGCGTGAGTTGTTTTTGGATTAATAGTTACATGTTAATGCGAGTAAGCAATAGAGAGTATAATAGTTGAATTTATAATCAATATTACTAATATATGAGATATAAAATTTATACTCCTATTATTGAGATGTTTGGATATTATCAAGTGTAGTAGTATAGTTGGTGTTATTTATAATACTTAGGAAGTTAGAAGTTGAGTTAGTTACATGGGTAGTTTCGTAATTAGCAGTCTACTCTTTCTTTTATTTTCTCACGTGTATAAGACTCATTTTCGGTTTCGGTTGAATAGGAACACACAATATTTTCCCCCAATTCCATTCTCTGTCCAGAAGCTTCTCTCACGATGAGAGCTCAAGCTCAACCTCTTTCAATGAAGGTTGATTCATTCCGTTAACTACAATCTCGACATGGTATCAGTGCTCAACTCGATTTTCTCATCGACGTCTCTTCCTTCTCGTCAAATTTCATCATTCGATTTCAGTTTTTTAGCTTTGCAAAATCAAAATCTGCACCTCACAGTTCGTCGCTAGGGTTTGAGATTCCTCGATTTTTCTCCCCAAATTCAGAGGTTATTTCTCCTAATTTTCTAGAGTTCGTCTTCAATCGATGGCCGGAGATAAAGAAACTCATAATACGACCAATAATTTGGACTCAACCAACCCGTTGTACATGCACCCGTCAGAGAGTGTCGGAACGACATTGGTACCTGTTGCCTTTGATGGAACTGGGTACAGATCTTGGAGATGGGGAGTTCTCAGAGCGTTATCCATGAAGAACAAGGTTGGATTCATTACCGAAAAATGTAAGAAGCCTAATACTGATGATACGACTTATAATCAGTGGGCTCGATACGATGACATGGTCACGTCGTGGATCCAAAACTCACTTTCAAATGACTTGGCTGATAGTCTACAATATGTCAGTGATGCTAGGGAATTATGGCAAGAACTGAAAGATAGATATGATCAAACTAATGGAGCAAAATTGTATCAACTGCAGAAGGAAATTAACGACCTTAGCCATGGAGCTTTGGATATCACAGGCTATTACACAAAAATAAAAAGGCTTTGGGAGGAATTAAATACACTGAATGCACATGCATAGTGCAATTGTTAGTGTACTTGTGCTGCAAAGGCCAATATGTACAAGGCTGAGCAAGATCGAAGATTAATCCAGTTCCTGATAGGCTTAAACGAAGTCTACATAGTGGTGAGAGGCAGCATACTCATGATGAATCCACTGCCCAGTATAGCACATGCTTTCTGCATTCTCATTCAAGAATAGAAGTAGAGAGAAGTCAGGCCAAGCAACAGACTAGTTATGGAGTCCATTTCATTGAATGTTAATGGACCTGGGAATAATAAGTTTAGGAAAAATTACAATCCAAGAGGAAATGGTGCCGCACATAATTCGTACAATTCAAACAAGCAAGGCTATCCAGCTGCCAAGTCTCTATTTTTCTGTGACTACTACAAAAATCCAGGGCACACCAGAGATAATTGTTAGAGGATACATGACTTTCCACAGGATTTCAAGTTCACTAAGGGGAGGAATACATCATCAGCTGCAAATGTTCACGCAGAATATGAAGAAGCTGAGGGTGGAACTCACGATCAAGAGTTTCAGTACTTAACAAAGGATCAATACAATCAGTTGCTTAGCCTATTGGAAAAATTTCCAGGAAGGAACACATGGGAAAGCTCAAACAACGCAGCATGTTGAGTTGCAAACTTTGCAAGTATTCTAGCATGTTCTACTTATAAAGAGATTGTTGAAACTACTGTATGTAAATGCTCTAGATTAGTTGTTGACTTGTGGATATTAGATAGTGGAGATTCAAATCACATGACCTATAGGAAATATTTTCTGAATAACATTAGAACTTTATCTTATCCATTTCTAGTTACACTACCTAATGGATATAGGGTGAAAGTGACAGAAATTGGAGATGCATTTCTTGGTCCAATGTTAACTCTAGTCAAAATGTTGTATGTAGCTAGTTTCAAGTACAACCTCATCTCTATTCAATCTTGAAGAAGCCTCTGGAGATTGGTAAATCAAGGAGTGGTTTGTACTTCTTAAGCTCAAAATGTCATAGTAGTCCATCTTCTATTCCTTCTACTCTTTGTTCCCATTCCTGCTTTCCTGCATTAGTTGATGTTGTAAATAAAGGAGAGAGTCTTCCTTTACATTCATTGTCAATTGTAAATAGATCACCACATTCACTCAACAATGTAAATAACCTTCATTCAAGAAATAAAACTTACTCTTCCTTTGGTATACATTTTTTCTGTCATCCATTGCATCTCATGGGGACAGTGTTGAACATCTCTGGCATAACAGACTAGGTCATGTACTTTTTATGAAAATGAGAAGGATATCTACCGTACCAGTTAATTTTTCTCCTAAACAACCTTTCTCTGTCCTATCTGCCCCATGGCAAGAAACACAAGACTATCATTTCCCCAGAAAACCTCATCTTAGTTCTTTTCTTGTGGAATTGATCCCTTTAGCCTATATTGATTGTATTGTTCTACTTGTGGCTAGATTCGGGACGTTTGGAGACCGATTTGAGAGGCAAAGGCATTTCAGAGTAGAGATTTTCTCGGTTTGAGGTAAGTAACGGTCTTAAATCTGGTTTTGAGGGTATAAACCCCGAGAAATGGTATGATGTGAGAGTTTGGAGGTGATGCACAAGCAAGGTGACGGGTGTGTGAGCGTACATCACGAGGGATTGTGACTTGGTCCGTCCCGTGAGACTGTAAAGTCGAATAGCCATTGTTATTACTTTGTTTTCCTTGTCTTTGAACAATTGACTGCCTTTCATGTTCGAAACCATGCTTAGGCCATATGATATCACTGTTAGGACCCGCAACGGTCGAAAACTTGTTGTATTGAATGCTATTTTTTGTCTTGTACTTAGTCACAGTCTTACTTGTGTGTTACATCTCTCTTCCCTCTCAGTTCTTGTTGATTCTTGTTGTATTATCTATTTGGGCTGATTATTATGATATTCTGTGAGCCTGAGGGGCTGGAGAGGTTAGTGACTGAGATAGGGCCTGAGTGCCAAGTTGTGAGCTATGTGAGGTTATATGGATCGGGTTGCACGCCGTAACGAGTCTTATGACTATTTATGGACTGTGGATCGGGTTGCACGCCAAAACGAGTCTTATGGCTACTTATTTGATTGGGTCGGGCTGCACGCCGCAATGATATAGCACTTGGGATGAAAGGAGTCCCTCTGTAGTCTGCACACCCCCCAGTGAGCGTAGGTACTTATTGAGTGTGTGTGTTGAGGGCTGAGAGCCGAGAGTATGAGTTGTTGAGATGAGTTGAGTGACTGCTGCCTTGAGAGGTTGTACTTGTTTTTATTTATTGTTGCACCTAGTTTTTATCTGTAGTTGTGGTGAAATATCTGGAAGGTTCATATCTGTTTTACTTGAGCTCGAACTAATTTGACTTACACCACCAGAATTGAAAGCATCTTCACTCTTTACTAAAAACTTTTGAAATGAACTATATTTTTATAGCTCATCATTGCTTCCTGTTATTTTAAATATCTTAATTCATTTCTGTTAAATTTTGAAAGTGTTTTGGAAAGGTCGGCTTGCCTAGTACCATGATAGGCGCCATCACAACGGGTTAGGTTTTGGATCATGACAGATTATTAATTAACCGTACAATAAAATGGAAATACTCCAAGGGACTGCGATGAACAAGCAACTCTACCTTGAATCCTTGCGATAAGACTTTAACTCTGTCCGAGTCCGATATCTCCAACACTCGGCTCTACACAAAAATGTGCAAAAGTGTAGTATGAGTACACCACAGTCGGTACCCAGTAAGTATCAAGACTAACCTCAGTGGAGTAGTGACGAGGTTCAGTCAAGACACTCACTAGTCTAATAACCTGTGCAATATAGTATACAAAAATAATAGGAAAACAAATAACAATAATGGCAATACTAATCATTAAGTGAGATACACAGTAGGGAAACAAGAACACCATTAATATTGCTCAACAAATAATAAATACAAGTACGCCTAATTAATCAAGTCCTTCAAATATAAATCTTTCGCCTATATGCTTCTCAAATAATAATCTTCAGGATATAATACTTTCCAATAAATATATTTCGGATATACTCCCTTCAAATAAATATCTTTCAAATATAATTCTTTCAAATAAATCTTTTTCAAATATAATTCCTTCAAATAAATTTCTTTCAAATATAATTCTTTCAAATAAATCTCTTTCAAATATAATTCCATCAAATAAATATCTTTCGAATAAAAGTCACCCAGTGACACCTCATTTCAAAATCATAAAATACGTGTCTCAGCCCACTTTTATATTCCACGGTACCTCGTGCTAATTTCTCTATCACAACCGCACAGACAACTCACATGTCAATATCATCATCAGTTAACCAAGACACCTCATGCCCATATTTCATATAACAACTTCACGGACAATTCACGTGCCAATATCATCATCATTTAACCATGACACCTCGTGCTCACATTTCATATCACAACTACATGGACAATTCACGTGCCAATATCAACATTATTTACTCACGGCACCTCGTGCCCATATTTCATTTCATAATCCGCCTGGCAATAGCCATAGGCTCCCAATTTCAACATAGATCAGACTATTATCAAGTTTACCGAAATATTAAGACAAATTGCACAAAATATAAAGACAAACACAAGGAAAATCACAACATCGCATAAGAATTACCAACACAATAACTCCACATCATCACATATCATCCATGACAATAGCCACCCTTATCTCTCATATAGCCACCCTTATCACTCCTATAATAGCCTCGCTTATCCCTCCGCCCTGATAATATCAATAGCCACCCTTATCACTCATATAGCTACTCTTATCTCTCCTATAGACACTCTTATCACTCCGCCCAGACAATTTTCCAACACACATAACAACAGTGAAATGCCACCCTTATACCCACATAATATCAGCAGTGGAATGCCACCCTTATATCCTCAAAATCATAACTCAAATAACACAACAATTTACACGGAATATTATCATGGCAACATAACAAAATCAATTCATATCACAATTTGCCCAATGGCCATAATCAATTCCAAAGATATAACAAAATCAATTAATATCACAACAAATAGCCCAAAGCTCCACACAATGTGTATAAAACCTCAAAACAACAACAGAGATAGAAAATACTCAGTATAGGGCAACACCTTCATTAATCCAAATTCTTGATAATTATATTAACGCCTCAGTTTAAACTTATTTCATTAATTATTTGCAGATGTAAAATCCATAATGTAATTATTTTCAGGAAATATCAAATCACCAAACTCACGGAATTCACATAAATATACAAGTAATAATCACATCAAATTGTCATATAAAAACAAATTCAACAAACGTGAATTGAGGCATGGCAAATAGATGATTTATTAAATGCCAACAATTATCCAATTTACTACACAATATACCTAAGACTTTAACCCAATAAAGCTTGCACATATAAGCCCGAGTACGTACTCGTCACCTCGCGTACATGGTTTATCACATTTCACAAATGGCACATAAGACTCGATGCCGAAGGGGTAATTTCCCCACTCAAGGTTAGGTAAGATGCTTACATTTTTGAAGTTAGGCCAATATTCCAAAATAGCCTTCTTGCTTGAATTGACCTCCGGACAGCTCAAATCTATCCAACTTAATTGTATAACTTCATTAAAATTCATCGAAAATAATTTCGGATAATAAAAACCAACTCAAAATTTTATTCTACAAAGTCAACGTGGGATAACGGATCCCGACAGAATTGTTACGAAACCCGAACACCCATTCCGATATGAGTTCAACCATACCAAAATTATCAAATTCCGATAACGGATCGCCCTTCAAATCATAAATTAAAGTCTAGAGGATTTCTACCATTTTGAACCCAATTCACTAATTTAGTGATAAAAACAACAATAGATTCATGTAATTTAACCAAAATCAAGTTAGGAATTCTTACCCCAATGCTTTCCTTGAAAAACTCTCGAAATATCGCCTCACCCAAGCTTCCTTGATCCAAAAATAGAAGAAT